CCTTCTCTGTTTCCTCCGGGCTGTATTTCCAATGCTTTCTGGAAGGAATATGATTTGGCAAAGCTCTGGAGCCCTGACTTAATCTGATATCTATTATGTTTGAATCAGACCTTCAGAGCCTTCTGGAGTTATCTGCTTCCAACAGCAAGGCCTCCTTTGGAGAAGTTTTGACTTGGGCAGTTAGGGATAGCTCAGCTAAGACTATCAGCAAGAGAATTATATTCTGGTCTGAAGAAATGAACCCTGGCCTGCGTGTCCAGCACTGGGTTGGGTTGGGTTGTCTCGCTGTTTTGTCCAATGCCATGGGTGGAGACGCCCCTTTTCTCTTCTCAGAAAGCTGCTCTTGGTGCTCTGAATGGGGGAAAGGCTCCCTGGGCAGCTGGCCTGCCTTACTGAGAACTCATCTGCATTTGGGAAATGATTGGCAATCCTGGGCAGGGGCAGTCCAATAACTCATTTCTCACCTGGCTTGTTCAGCTTGGGATGGCAAAAAAAAACACCCCACCCCTTGCTTTTCCTTGCTTTATATATATATTTTTTATTGAAGCATAATCAGTTTACAATGTTGTATCAATTTTTGGTGTACAGTATGTTTCAGTCATACATATACATACATACATTCATTTTCATATTCTCTTTTTTACTATAGGCTACTACAAGATGTTGAATTTAGGTCCCTGTGCTATACAGAAGAATGCTTGCTTTATCTTAATTATCATTATCATTTTTTTTTAAAGCAGAGCTTGGGAAGGGGGTCTTCAAATCCTGAGCCTGCAGAATCTGAGAGCATCTCATCAGGGAAGAAGGAACTCTCTAATGTTTCCAAGCAGCTTTAACTTCTTCCCCACAACCGTGAAACTTATGCAACAGAAACGAAATGGTATTTCCCACTATTTGCAAAGTACATGGAAACAGAAACTCTAAAATTGTCCCCTGTTGAAGAGAATTTCCCTATCATTACAATTGCTTTTTTTTTCCCCTTTAACTTGCTGAACTGAAAGTCCTCCCCTCTTTTCTCTCTGTTCTTTTGCAGAATGTTTCCTAGCTATAGCCTATTTTAGGCCCCTGTCCTGGAGATAGACATGGATCTCAGGGCTCCCCACTAAAGATCTTGGAGGGTAGGGGTGGATGTGATGGGGAAGGAGGGAGAAGGGCTCAGCCTGAAACAGGGATAGAAAAAGGAAATCTCCCCCAGCCTGTGATTCCTTAGTCATGTTGGCTTCAGCGAGTTGCTCTGTGCCAGCATTAGCTGGGAGGCAACCAGCCCCGGACCAAGGGAGTCCCCATTGATGACTCCAGGGCGGACCTCTCTATCTGAGTAATGAGACCTGGGTAGGCAGAGGCCTAGAGGTGCCACCAAACAACTCTGGAGAAGCTGAAAGCATCTCGTTTTTGTGTTTGCTTGTTTACTGATTTATCGATTGTTAACTTGGTTATTGTCTTTCTCCTTCCGCTCTAGACTGGAAGCTCCAGAAAGGCAGGAAACTTATCTGCCGTGGTCATTGCTGTATGCCAGCCTGGCATTTGGCAGGCCTTCAATAAACACTCATTGAATGAATGGCAGAAGGAACTTGCTGTGTTCATTTGTTTAATTCCTTATTGTCTGTCCCCTCTGCTGGAGTGATGTCAGCTCTATGAGGGCCTGAATGTTGTTGGTCTCGTTCACCTCTGCAGTCTCAGTTCCTCACCCAATGCTTAGCACATAGTAGGTGCTTGTGGCAGACACCTCTCTTAACAATGGAACCCCAAGTTGTTCGGGCAGACATGCCCCAGGAAATGGAGCAGGATGGTTCTAAGTTGATAGTGACAAGCCTGCTCTTGCTCAGGGAAGATTTAAAGGTGGCCACATGACCCAGTCTGGCCTGTGAGGTATAAGGGAGAGTCTGCTTGCTGCAGCTTTTGGGGAACATTTTCTCCCTGTGATAAAAGAGAAGCACAGAGGATCACCCCCTTTAACCTCCTCTTTCCTTTTCTGCTGTGGAGTTGTGTTAGCTGGTGATATGGCAGGTGCAGCAGCCCATCTTGCGACTCTGAGGCCCCAGACCTTGGAGGAAAAGCCAACATGATGAGGACAGCTGGTTCGTAGGTGCCTTGGTCCTTGATGATGCCACCAAGTTCTGAACCAGCCTGAGGAACCAACCTCCTCTGGACCTCCTGTTAAATAAAATGTCCTATGGATTAACCCATCAGTGGCCCATTTTTCTCCTCCGTGCATCTCAGTGTATCCGGATGGATTCAGCACTCAATCCATGAGTTGAATAAATTAAAGCCTTCAACTTATGGAGCGCTTGCTATCTGCTCTAAGCACTTTGCTCATATTAACTCAGGAGTCTTTGCAACAACCTTATGATGTGGGTACAGTTATGATCCTCAGTTCCCAGATGATGGAAACGAAGCACAGAGAGCCTAAGTAATTTATTAAGACTTGTATCATTCTTCACTATGAACGGGCTGGTGGGGGAGAAATATTCCAGAGGAATCTGAGAGGGTAAAAGAATGTAGAAGAGACGGGGTGGGCCAGGGATGGGCTCCATCCACAAATGCGGAAACGTCTGGATCGGGCTTGTTGGCAGTGAGGGCCAATTTTTGGGTGAAGTATGGGATCTGTGTGTGTGTGTGTGTGGAAGAAATATCTCTGAAGTTGAAGTTCATCATCCTTGGTCACAGCTGGGAAGGGGACTAACATTTATTAAATACCTACTATGTGCCAGCTATCTGTGTCAGGGACTTTGTATCAATGGTTCTCAACTGGGGGCAATTCTGTCCCTCAGGGACGTTTGGCAACGTGTGGAGACATTTTTTGGTTGTCACATTTGGGGAGGGAGTGCTACCGGCATCTAGTGGGTACAGTATGTCTGCTAAATGTCCTACAGTGCATAGAATGCCACCTTCCCACAACTAAGAAGAGGATTAATTAAAGATAAGGCAACTGAGGGTGGGAGGTGCTATCACCAGTTCAAGGTCACACAGCAGAGTTACTCCAGAGAACTTCTGGAGAACCTAAGAGCCAGCCACCCTTTGGACACAACTGATTCCACTACTGAAACCTGGCAGGCTCACGGCCCTCACACCCTTGACTCTCTGTCCAGGGGAACCTTCACTTACCCAAGGCCCAAGGCAAATGTTGCCTTGTCCAAGCTCACAAAGATACAGAGTTCTGAGAGGGCAGAAGCCAGCCCACTCTCTCTCTGTGTCCTTAAGCACTTACAATGTTTACCCAGAGGCCACTGGGAGAACAATTCTGGGTATCTGGAACAGAAGATAAATAAGCAATAGTGTTTCGGCCTAAAGGACGATTGCAGTATATAGGGGGATATTACAAGAATCAGCCATTCCACTGAGGAGACAGTACAACCTCTGGCTCGTGAATAGGGGCAGGTTAGGGATTGTGCAGACAGTCTGGAGAGTGGGGCCAGGCTAAGAGGCCTGTTCATACATGCAACTTTAATTAAGAATAAATATTTATAGAGCACTTTCTACGTGCTAGACATTGTTCTAAGTACTCCCTATAGATTAACACATAAGCCTGTGCAGGTACCATAAGCTAGGTACCACGATTATTTCCCTTGTATTGATGAGAACACTGAGGTTCTTGAGGCCCGGAAACCAGGGCAAGGCCACCCAAGGAAAGGAGCAAATGTGGGAGCTGGGATTTTAACCTGAGCAGCTGACTCTAGGCCCCAGGGGGATCATCCCTTCATACCTTCCTGTGAGGCGGGTGAGGACACTTGTGCAGCAGTTCGCTGATTATCAAGGTCACACAGAGCAGCCTAGACTAGAAGCCGGGTTTCCCAAGGCCTTATCCCGGGTGGTGGGTGGATGGGGGTGGGGGGCACGGCCAAAACGGTTGAACGGCTGCCACTTGATATTACTTTCCTCTAGGAAAGGTTGGAAAGGCAGGCTCACCTCATGGGGGGCATAGAATTATAAAGAAAGAGAAAAAGAACGGAAGGAAAGAAAAAGGGAGGGGGAAAAGGAGTAAGAAAGAGACAGTCTCGAGCCTTCCTTCCCAAGGTCGTGGCAGCGCCTGAGGGCACCCAAAGGGCCGGGTGTCCCAAAGGCACGGACAGGGGTTGCCGCTTTCTTCCCGTGGC